TCTTGGTAGTTTGGATGGAATGGAGAAAACCTTGCAACGGCAGATAGAAAACGTAATGGGGAAGAAAGATGGATACATTTCTTAAGGTTGAGTTCCTCAATGTGTGGTGATTTCGGTTCAGTCCGAGTTTTCGAAGAAATCTCCACATTTCAGTTGTTCATCAAGAAACCGAAGCAAGGTTTGCGCTCACTTTGGTTTCCAACGCTTTCTCGTGTGTCAGACAGTGCAGCAGGATACGCAGACAGTCTTGTTTGTTGGCTGGCAATTGTTTGAGCGCACTTATGTACTTTCTTCTTCGTCTGGTTCTTCAAGAACTACTGCCTCCTGCAACTACTACTCGGAGCATGGACTGAAAGTACGAGAGAACGGCAGCAGCGGAGTAATCCACTCTTATTCGACAAGGGCGGCTACTTTCTCCATTATGTTTCCTTCTCGAGCAGTAACCACTGGGCTGCATTATCTCGTATTACACACCAACCATAGGACTTAACAAGAATTACGATATTTTACTCCTTCTGCTTAGTGGTCTCCTTCCCTTGTTTGTGTTTGTTCACTTGGATGTTTCAACCTTCCACCAAGTTAATCTTGAGGTAGCAAAATACTGCAAGAGGAAGGGAAGCATCTTTGGACTTGGTTGAATTAAGATTCCTGCTGGTTTGGTAAATAAAAGGTATATGTACAATTGTTAAACATCATGTTTCACCATCCCCCTTGCTGTTGCTGGTGCATCCTATGGTGCAGATCTATACATTTTCCTTCCCTGTTCAACAACTCCTCCACAACTCGCTTCGTTTTGTCTAGTTTATTTCACAAACTTGGATCCATATTCCAAGGCTGCTCAGTTACCAGGATAATGAACCGTGATTTCACCAACGTGTATACCATAAGTTCAGAACAAAAGCGCTTGTGTGTGGGTTTGGGTAGTGATTTGAAATACCCCAAAGTTGCCACATGGATTAAAATACCAGTCGAATTACTGCTTATCCAAACATGCTTCACGAGTCAACTTAGATGGTAAATAAGTAGGGTGCAACAGGACTTCCGTTCCTGGGAGACCGTCGTCATCATGAATCACACATGTACGTAAGTTGGATGGGGTTGAGTGCGCACATTTAACATTTTAGGCGTAGCAGACAGTTCATTGACAGTCAGAAACTTTCTCCTCGACTAAATCTCAAAACTTTTGCTGCCTACCAGTTTCACTCAACTCAACATTTGTGTTTCCCTTGTTCATTCATTTTCTGCTCGAATTTAGATTCACAATATCTTTCATTCAACTTTAATTGAGATTGGATTACTCTGTGTTCCCACTCACAAGCTCAAACAAACATCTGTCAAGATCAGAGTTGAGTTGCAAATTTGGGGAAGAACAGTGAGCTCTTAATTAATAATATTATATCTCTCTGGACAATATGTCCATGTATATGGGTTCGACTTGTTCTCGCCCACTTGCGTACGTCTCAGGGAACAAGACGTCTGTTTGGAGTTGCTTAGAAATCTCTGAGGAATAATGCCTACGTATGAACGTATGTACAAAAGTAGATGGGAAGACAGCTGTGAAAAAATTGATGATCAATCTAATCAGGAGATCTCGCAAATCATCGTCTGTCATCCAATCTAATTCCTCCTCTTCCATTCACCCCACTCATCACCGTCACTTATATAATCACGTTTTACTGCTACAATAATGCAGCGGGAGAAGTTTGTGATGATACTCCCAATTCCTTTCGAAAATCTAGTTTTTTGTCTTCCTCATGAAAGGATGATGTTGCTGAAGGAGATGGACGCTTAATGAGCACGCGAGGAGAACCCAAGTAATTTAAGATGCATTTGTTTTGCGTCTTCTTCATGCTTCATTTCAAATTGGGATATTGGATTCGCCCTGTCTGCCCCGGAGAAAATGAGCCCGCCGAGAGAAAGGGTAGATGGGTAGTAATATAATATTCATTTATACGTGGAATGAAATGAAGATTGAGGATGGATAAACTTTAGTTGATGCTCAGTGAACCGTTAGACACAAGATTGCTTGGTGAAAGCAGCCGTGGTCGCAAATATCACGCACACAGGAGAAGGAAGAGGATGATCATGGTAATGCTAAGATTCTCACGAACGCATTAGAATCAAAGGAGCAATGCAGCAAAGTCCGATCGAATCTTCAACTTCTCAATAAAATGCATCTGCTCTTCATCTGAACCCATTCTGAAAAAAGTTTGAAAATCTCGGGAATCGTTAGCTCCCGTCATAAACCTTAAGCTCGGCTTCATACTGCAATAAGGAATGTAATTAAACTGTAATTATGGGATTTCCATCTCAAATCCTGGACGTCTCAGCGTTTCTAAAAATATTAAACAACGATGGGATATTGCTGTTGATGGCTGTCATTCTGCGCTAAAATGCTTTCTCCTGAAACAGTGTGTTTATTTTTTTGTATGAAAGCCAAATTGAGTGCTGGTCGCTTTCCCGTCGAAACAGGTTAGAAATGTCAAATCAAATAAAAATATGATAAAATTTACACATAGGTTGAAAATCGTGACGGTGAACAAAGTTGATACCTGGGTGTCTGCATTAAGACCTCATATATATCGTATACATCTTGCACAATGGGGTATGCAACACACAACCTCGATTATCGTGGAGGAACTTGAGCAGTATTTTCAGGAGGAGTTTTATTCAGTTTCTCGCCCGATATATCGTTTCATGTTCGTGATATTAATGGGTTCCCAGTAAGTCCTGAAATGAGCTTGATGCATGCATGCATGACTCCCATGGTCTCATTTCCCTGGCGTTATTATGACATTGCTAATGCTTCCCATTGCTAATACTGCCACCCTTGGTTAGGCTACAAATCATTCACATATGAAGTCAACGGTGGTTACGTATTTCGCAATGTTGGTAAAAAAGAATTGGTAAAATTCTGCACAAAAGTTTTTTGTTAGACAACTGTGATACAATCAAGTTATGTAACTCAATCTCAAGTTCTGTCTAAATTGTATGTGGGTTACTCAAATGGGTCCGTAATTCGTATGGACATACGTGCACACATATATAGAGAAAATACATCTCCGGTTATAAAGCACAGTTTTAATGCACCTTTAATCCGGGCGGAAGAACAATTCATAGAGGTAATAGTAGAATAAAGTCATTTGGAAATCCCAACGGAGCACTCAATGCCCAAAAGCAAAGAATTTGAGTCGCTTGCTACTTAATTTAATGTGGACACATTTCGAATCATCTCCGGAACAATTTCCCACTCAGTTTAAGTAGAATTGAGTTTGCATATTAAAATTTAAACCAGTTGGCTAATTACTTCCCAAGGAAATCCCACATGACAAAATATGAGCGACTCCCTCGTGTGGCTGTTTCCTCCTTGCAATTTGATTATGATGGATACTGCCCCACTGAGGGCATAGTTGGTAGTGCAATTCGTAATCGTAAGTACTTAATAACAAGCTTGAACCTCTGATTTTGTGTTCCCTGAACGATAATCTACACATACATGCATGCATTTGAATGTTGGTATATACGTATGTATGGTGGATATTGCAGTAGTGCACATTGTTGTATGAAGTGGATGTGTGTAGTGGTTTCTAGTGTGGGAAAAACCGTCGTAGTGGAGAATATCCGCACATATGTATTTATTTGTGAAAGGTGGCACAGGTAAATTCCCTTTAACTCGTTAACTCGCAAGTGAGCAGGGAGCAGAGGAAGTTTGCAACATGGCATCATGCTCACGCTCCGCCAAGCACGGGATGCAGGGAAAGACTGCACTAATCAAAAAGAATGAATTAATTATGACAAAATCGTGTGGCAAACTACTTACAATTTCTCCCTCCTGTCTAGATTACACTACGACACGATGCCTGCGTAAAACATCTACGGCGGAGAGGAACCATTATTACATCGACCACCTGAAAAGCTTGTTTAGGCAAATGAGAACGTATGATAGCATGATTCTTCTCCTAAACCAAATTGTCCATATGTGTGTCCTTTCTCCCCCAAATTCAAAGGCACCGTTATTAACGAGGGAATTTGTGGGATTGCATAGACGGCACCGAGTCATGAGTTGCGAGTTGTGATTGAGGAAGGGCCATCATTCATTTATACGCACCGTCGTTTCATATGCAATTCCATTATCGGATACAAGTTTAATCATTGTAGACTTCAAACTGAAATTTAAATTATCTGGGAATGATACCTGGACGACAGGGAATATGTACATGCGTCTCATCGAGGCTTACAAATGTGCTCCCCTGAATTATTATTTCTCCTTTCACAGTGCAATGCTCAGAACTTGAATGAATCACACAGAACAGAGTGAAATAAAGAGTTGCCCAATGGCCATGGAGGAACAAATAAAGAACAACTAGGTAAATAAATTGGGAGACAGTCAGCTGGATATCGGAGAGGATCAGCGGGGGTTATCTTTTGAAATGTGAATTGCACACCAGAATCATATTCGACTTCGCCGTCGTCCTTTACAACCTTCCCGTCCAACTCGGTGGTATTTGCTCAAACACAATTTATTTGGCATTATATGTCACATTTAACCCGAACATGCCACACTGTCACCGAATCATTTTGAGACCTGAAGAGTAGATCCAATAATGTTGTATGTATGTGGGAGTTTATGTGCTTCTCATGTCGTCGCTATATGCCTAACACAAAGGCATCAAAGGTGTGCTCAGTTCAAATAGGTAATACATATGTGGCTACAAAGGTACGAGTATGCCTGTATACCTGCTAGTAGATTTGTACATATGCAGAAGGTAAATGTCATGAGGAAGTACTCGACTGCACACATACTCTTTGTTTTAATATGCACTTAATTTCTGGTCGTCTCGTTTAATTTTCCATCAATCATGCCTATTTGTCTGTTGTGCAGACAGTGGAATTAGATGATGTGCCATTCTGCATGACAAATTAAGCGAGCAGGAGAGCATGCAGCAAACAAAGAACCGAGGATAATCCATTATTGAATTGAATAGAATTAAACAACTTACATTGAACGTCGTCGTCAACTTCATTGAGGAGAAAGGACTCATCCTCCTGTGGTCGTACATCATTGTGCTGGTGTAATTGTTGTAAACTTTCGTCCAACCTGTTATTATACTCACTGCTAATGACACCCGCCGAAACGTGCGAGGGGGAGGATGACGACGCTGCAAACGCCCACTTTACATTCAACGCAAAACAACAAAATGTCAATACCATCACAAATAAAACACTGATACTGCTCCCATGATAAACTCTGCGTGAGCAAGATGTTTTTATTTTCGCAGTTAAATTCCAGCCGTCAGTTTCGTGGTCTTCGTATTTTCCCATGTTTCCTAGTCTTTGGAACTCAAGGTACATATACAAGTTTGGAGAAGGAGGAGAGTCTGGAAGATTTTTTTTAGTTTTATTGACAACTAAATATTTCAAACTCCTGAAACAATGGATGGTAACGTTGGAACAACTAAAAGCATTCGGTATTCACACACCACAAATGAACAGTGCTTGTTTACTTTATACAAGTTTTGATTTTAATTGACACTCTGCAACAGGCATTTCCTGTTTATTTCAAGCTAATGGTTCAAATTTGATGATATTGCAGTATGGTTTTGGCTTGACATCATACAAGTTGACATGTGTCCAAGGTGAGCTGCATTGCCAATTTTGAAGGAAACCTGGATGACAACATAATTGCAAAGTTATTTCGCCAACTTCTCGAAATATTACCGCATGCACACTTGTATGTACATCTGTGGTGCATGGGTCGGTCGATGCCCATAGTCTATTATTGATATATACAAGAGTTATTCCATATTTGTGGTCGACACCACTGGTCAGAGTCAATTAGTTGCGCCTCAGTAATCAGCTTTCAAAGTTTCTCAAAAGTAGGTTACGGCACAAGTTAAAACATGGTCACGTCATGTTTTGCAGGGGACGCCAGGGAGTCAATTGCACTGCGGTGTTTGGTGGGTGAAACGGTTAAACTCTTGTCACTCTTGACAGACTTGAAACAATTCACGTCTCCCTCTCGTCTCTGGAGATAAGAAAGTAGAGTAAAGCGTCCACGGTCTCGTCTGGCACTTTCACCACCGCTGATTGAAGACTGGGCTTTATCGCCAAGTTGGATCACATGAAATAAAGTCAGCCATCAGTTAAGAGGAGAAAGTAAACAAGTGGTGGGGCTCACTGGTATATATTTGTGTCTATGTGTGTATGTGTAGTGATATATATGTACGTACGTACGTAGGTATGCGATGCTCGTATATTCTCAACGTTGAGGAGGTGCTTGCACTAAAAGCAGCGCGTTGGAGAGAATATTAATTTATCAGTGTTATTCTAACCTTTTCCACTAAATCTTGTCGTTTACTTGCCCCACATTTTGTCGTTTTCTTTCCTACACATTGGGACCGTCGGCATGATTTATTCAAATGGCTTATGCGCAATCATGTTTTGAGGTTTTCAGGCAAATTCTAGACTGACGGAGGATTTATTGGAGATTTGGAATTTTATTTTGGCAAATAGACGTTTAAGAAAGGTTTTTGTCGTTGGTGGTGTTGTGATGTGAGGGGAATAATTTCACGACGAAATTCTGTTTCAGTGTACATGCATGCGTACGGAGGTACTTTTTCCATGCTCGTCCTATCTGTTCCTGTCCTCTTGTCTGCGAGAATGCACAATGATGAAAGCAAACTCAGAAATTCATTCTTTTCATACTGTTCCGGTTTATTGCTGCTGAAATTGTTGTTTCTCGGGTTCTTCGGGACATGTATATTAATTTAAAATTTGTCCAAATGCAGAGGCGAGGAACCTCTCAATTTTCAACACATCACTCATGCACAGAGTTGCAGTCGCGGTAGGTGAGTAGGACTGAACGTTGGTTTGGACTCTTCTTTGATAGCACAGTCCATCATCCGTCTTCGGTATGTCAGATTCAATTCATCGAATATAAAACAAGTTTGTACTTTCACTAGCACTCAACACTATGCTTATTTTCCTGTGATGTTGAGGCCGATGAAAAACTGGGGAGAGAAAATGGATAGCTTTTTCCTTCCTGCCTGGAATAAAAGTAAAGCAGATGTGTTATAATTTTTTTTGAAAGTATAACAAACGGCGTTCTGAAAATAAAATGTAAAATGTATTTTTTGTTTCACAGTGCTTTTCGTATTTCTATATCTTCTATTTCTATGTGCAACCCAGTAATATGTAAAAATAGTTCTCAAAAGCTGCACTTTCATCATTCTTAATAAAATAAAGTGCAGTGACTTTACAACAGTAGCTGTTACACATACATGCCTATCCAGCAAAAGTGAAAGCATGCATGCGAAAGACTTTATGGTAACGATTTTATGACGACAGAAATGAGAAAGTTTGTGATGAATTTCAACTTCAAAAGTATTAAAATTAAGACAATATTTTTCTATTTAAAACTCAGACGCTGACAAGCTGAAGTAGATGCTAAATTTTTAAGTCAGTTATATACAAACCATAGAAAGTTTCTCTTGGACTTTCATTTGGTAAGAGTTTTAATAAAGTTTTTTCACAGTGCAAACGGCGCTGTGCATAATTTAAGTAATCAGTGCGTTACACACAGTGCAATGTGTGGGAGTGAGATTTTTGTGAACTTGCGTCTGCATTTTTAAGCCACGCTTATGTAAATGGTATTCACTCCTACGTTGAAGAAGCAATGGATGGAGATACTATTTTATTGATAACATTTTAAACAAAATTGGAGAGAAAGTTTCACGCGGAATTCTTTTCGTCTGTCGCTGCTACAAAAGAGATGCTAGACGACTACGTACACAGTGCAGCTCGTTTGTGTATGTTCTTGAAAAATAGAGCCTTGTTACGAAAACTTTTACACCCCTTAATTGTGGTGTAATAAGCAACGCGCACGCCGTCATCAACCAAACTTTCTTTTCAAGGTTTACTCCCAGCGTAGGAGGCATAATAAAGACATTCACTTCCACATCCTGCATGTCATCTTGATTCCATCCCAGCTCAACTCTTCCCCAAATTGGTCCGAGTTCATACAGTCGTTAACTAATGTGGGCAAGTGAGTTCATTTGGGAAATGGCGGAGGGACCGTTTCTGCATCGGACGGAAACTACTAGTCATTGTGTGTGAAATTCGTATAATGTGTGAGACTTACTTGGAGGAGCCAAGCAGCAAACTCAAGGAAAGTTCCTGCCGCCTTCTCAGACCGACCGAACTACTTGATACGAACACAAGGGAAAGTAGTTGAGCACTTGTACATACAGTTTCGTCGTGTGAAGCGTCATTGCAACAGTTTTCTGCCATTCGCACCCACTTACGAGAGTATCCATATACTTCACTCAACTAAGTCTGGGATAAAAAGACAAGTACCACGCCAGGCAGCCCAGAAGCTCTCATTCACATGGCCAGACAGACTCCATACTTCACTTATTGCTTTCACTCAAGAATTCCAGGAATCGTGAGAACTAAGACTAAGAAATTTGTCTTATTATTCTTACTGGAATCTCTCTAGATACTTATTTATAGGCTGAGCAACGTTAGGAACGGTACACACTTTCCCCTGTTGCATTGCACCAAAAATTAGAAGAATTTTCTTGTACCTTAATAATTTGGTCCCGAGATGTCATAAATCTTAGCTGTTTGTAGCCTATGCCTTATAAGTAAGTATGCATTTTATCTAAAATCCCCAAAACCCATAAAGTTTGTTAATATTAAGATGACGATTAAATCAATATAAATTAATTATAAAAATTGCCGGAAGCTCCCTATTCCTTTCTACTAAAAGTAGAAAGATAAGAATGGTTGCCTAAATGTAGTGTGCGCTAAATGAACACTTGGTTTTGATATTTATTTATGTATTTATTTATGTAGTAAATATATATATATATACGTCCCAATTAATCACAAGGTAGATACTTGCTAGATGCAGGCAGAGCGTAACGAGTTGATGAGGGATCACCGATCAGTACGTAACACGACAAATTGAGGGGCGATCCTTATTAGTATGTTGATGACGGGAGCAGGAAATGAGCCAAATGAGGGACGGTTGGTCCACTAAAGTTGTACGTATTGTACGTACACGTTCTGTTGATTCGAAAAATAAACAAGCATGTCTGCACCTACACTGATTCTTTATCAAAACTACACATTTTCTTTCTTTTTGGTTTAGTCTCCCAAAGGATCACTCACTGAATAAGCCAAAGAAAAAGTGTACTTTTTGAACATTGTGGATCCGCGATGAGAGAAAGAATACTACGTAGTCGACTTTCGACAAGTTAACTTGTTCCGTTATTTTGTAGTTCTTGAGTATCTTTATCCTTCCAGCCCCCGTCCAATCTATTACAGACTACTGTCCCAACATACGAATACAAATTCCAATACCACTGAAAAAACACAGACCAGTTCCAATGGCAAGAGAATTTCTTTCCTATCAAAGAAAACCATAATGCTCTCCTCTCAATGCTGTAGACTGCAAACTCGTACGAGAAAAAAGCTGCACTTTTTTTTACTCTTATTGTGATTGTTACTCCAAATGTGTGCACAAAGGATAAGTACGTCAAAGTGAAAGTATGTTTGACTATGCCCTCCTCGAGGTGTAATTGTCAAATAAAACTGCAACTACCTCTAATATTGTGAGCAAAAAAATGGTTTGTGAACTTGTTTCATGTAAAGACAGTTTGTTCATCAGTGATAAATCCACACATATTCATATGTAAATACATATTGCATGAAATTCACTGTGCGTTCATGCGGCAACACTATGTAAAACAGAGCTTTGATAAGACAGAACATATATTCGTACGGTTCGTGCATTTCTATTTATCAAACTTACATGTATAATTTCCAAGCCCAATACAACGCTGCTGGATAAATCAGAAGAACAGTTGGATGGACAAACTCAGTGTTTATTTCCCAGCGGTATTCTGCAAGTAATTAATTGGTGTTTCATCTAGTTTCCTATTCTTCCACACACCACTGCTTACTTATCATCAACAGCCAACACCATTTATTTATTAACTAAATCTACTTTCAGTTCCAGCGATGATTTATTAGCAGAAGATCTTCGATACGTACAAGGATGATACACTTCTAACAAGTTTCGCAACTAGAACAACACACAGCAGAGGTCGTAATTTCCAGCACAACACAATTTCACAAACACTGTACGACGAAAATGCAATTTGAAATGGCTTATTTATTACTGCATTGGGAATTTGAGATCGTGACGGTGATGCCTCTGATTTGATTTTTTTAATCGCAATTTTTCCCCAATTTGGTTGACAATTTAAACACTAGATTATGGTTATTCTGAGAGTCCGAGATTTTAAGGGGCAAAAATGTGGGCATTAAAAAATAAAACTTGAAATAGTCACGACTTATAACAAAGATTTGAGGGTTTGAGGGTAGTCGTTCGAATTTAAATTTAGGGGAAGAAATATGGTTTTCATCTGCTTAACGCGAGCTTATTTTGTACTGATTTCCAGTTATGTAGAAGGAGCGGGTTAACTGTGTCGAATTTTCCAAGAGACTGAACTTGGGACGATTGAGCAGGAGAAAGCAGTGAGAGAGCTCCATTCCCTCCTTTGTTCCGTGGTCGAGTGATCCAGAGCGTGGGACTTTCTCTCCTTTTACCACCACCACCACCACCGATGATGGAACGACACAAGAACTCGTACTTGGTAAAATAGCAGAGCTTGCTCGGTCACAATTCCCATCACAACCAAACCCTTCCGTCCGTTCGTCACTCTATGCACTCTGGTTGGAATGCTTCTGGTTTGTTTAGTCTTCCAGCTTTCACTACCGTACATGCTATCCCACTTGGCGATGCCCCAAAACTTGGAGGAGGCGACACAATGCAGAAACACGGTACCATAACAGATATTTCTAATATGCCGTTCTCGTCCTGAACCCAAATCCAACGCCATGAGCTGCATGTGAACTGCAGTTTGTTGATACTTGGAGGTATAATATTTCTCTGCGCTTCATTTTAAAAAGGTACGATAGGGTCTATTTCCTTCTTTTGGATAAATCCAGTATGTTAGTTGAACGATTCATTTACTAAGTTCAATCCGCCACCCTGCTTCAATATGCTCCCCAGCGAAGGTGTACTTTTTATTGCGAGTTTTATTTACAAGGAGAAAAGTCTAGCTTTCGTCCACCTTTCTTTGTCGTTCAAATATTCGCTGTTGCATGAAACACCTTTCAGCGTTATACACATTTCATCACATGTGTCAACTACACTAGAAGCGGCATCAATTCATACCAACATGATAAAGTAGACATGCATACATACATACATACGAACTGCTACTCACCCACCTGTCAAGTGTCAAACTAATAATACACCACTTGACTGACCTGGTCCTTCCCAGTGGACGTTAGGACACAATCACCGTTATGCAAAGAACGTCAGCTCTGAAAGTATTGCATTGTGGGTAGAAAGTGGCTTTGAAGATTCTAGAATGAACAATGAACTATCGATTTGTAGCCCTATCAGCACGCGTTCTCATTGTGTTGTCCTCTTTCAGCTTCTCTTGAAGGTTGTCGTAGTTTAAATGTTGCAATTTGTGTATTGGAGATATTTTTGATTACGGTGCAAAAAGCCTGTCCTTACACCACATGCAAGTGACTGCCTAATGATAAGGACGCGTCAATCCATCGCGAAAAGTGAAGTAGTGTGGAATGAGAATTTGTGTGAAGCTAAATACGTGTCAGCAGAAGAAAGTGTATCAAAAGCGATATGAAAACACAAATAAATTTAATTGGTTTGACTATTTTAATACGCTATGAGACTTTCTTTGTATTTAACAGTGATAATAGCTGATAAGTTATTTTTAATTTATTTTTCTTTTAAAACTTTGAAAATGATGCATCTGTTCTGCTTTCAAATACATGTGTGTGTACATATATCTACAATTTTACATTTGTATATGTAGAAACCAATGGAATTCAAGGACCAAAGTTGTTGGGAAACTCTTTACCGTGTCCACCAATGTGTCCAACCAAAGTTGCCCACCCCCACAGTTGGAGGCAAAATAAGCCTGGTTGGATTTTATTTCCCAAACAGAGGTTTGACACTCGACCTCTTCTCTCCAAAGGCGGAGATGGCAGCTTGCTCTACACACACGACAACTTTTTTGTCAACTTTCTGGGAAGAAAGAAAAGAATGGCTGGTGCATATTGAGACAGAGTGAGAGGACTGAAGGACGTTAACACAATATCAGGTCAACAACAATTCTAAGGACTATTTCATATAGTGAGTGAGGCTGCTTGATGTAAGCTCCGTCTCAAACTTTTCTTACTTATTTTTATCTTTTGCACAAATTCTGCGAACTGTTTTATGTATTTCAGATGCTAATTACAGGACACGAACTAGATAGGACAGATTAGTTTTAATTGGAACCTTAAAGGAATGAAAAATGCTGTTTTGTCAATTATGAATTGACCCATTTTTTCGTGCTGTGGGTGAGTGAAAGGTTTGCCAAATAAGCAACATATCATGATATCGGATCAGTGAACTGAGGAAAAATAGAAACTGATTGAATGGTGAGGTTTTTGTGTCCAACTGAAATGAAAATGTAGGTGACAGCCCGCTCCTCAGTTTGTATGGAAGAATAAACCTCAGGCCCACGTTCAGACGTTTCACATGTATGAAAGAAACTTCAGAATTGAATTGGACCGGATTCATCTTTCTGCTTCGTCTTTGACATCAGTCACATTCCATTGAATTTCTTGGACACCGAAACACCAGCGAAATTGGCTACAGACAGATAGAGGCAGCAGCAGACAAAGTGTGTAGGAAGAAGAAACAGCAGAAACTGCTGCTGTGCTGTTGCCCAGATTTGGTTTAGTCAGACAGTTGCAATCCTGAGCATCAATAAAATAGCGTAACTGTCACCACTGTATATTCGTACCAAGTGAAAACACGTTTGACGCACAAAGTTGTACAATGGACTCGGAATGCCGCCATCCTTAATCTAATTCCAATTTCTTACAAGAACACGAGGACTGGCCTAAAATAAGTATACCAAGTAAACGAATTATTCGAGAAGATTGACCAACGAAGACCATGTTTATTCAACCATGTCTAAAACCCTCTCAAGGATTTTGGTTATTTGGACCAAATAGTTTTTTTTCTATTCAAAACTCTAACATACAATAACACTGGTTACATACAAAAAAAGCCAAATATCTCGTTCAAGCTATGATGGACACGGAGTTGGCTAATTTTGCGACAATTTTATGAAATGTTTCAGTCATTTTGTTTCCAAGAATTCGGTGATCCCAGTCTGGTTGATACTGTATTAGAGTGAAAGTGAAGGATCGTCTCGTCAGTTAAGCTCGAGTTCACTCTGGCCAAAAAGCACTTCTTATCGCTTGTCTTCAATCACTTTCACTCACTCCGTCGTAGGTCTTGCGAGTAAGCCGCGAAAGTCCAGCTTCAAGGGATTCCCTGTTTTCTTTTCTTTGGTGCTGGTAATACCCAAGTTGCCAATTCTCAGATTTGCAATACCTCAATTGTGCGCCTTGTTGTCTCTTTGCGACAAAAGCACAGCAAATGCATACTAGGATTTTATCCAGTTTGTGAACCAAAAGGTTTATTTGTTTGCAACTTTTTTATAAAGCCCTTTAACTTGGTCCCTTCCAGATAAAATCGATAGCTCAATTACGCCAGTTGTACCGTTAAAGTGTAATTTTGTAATAGCTTGTCGCACAAAAAAAGTCCACGAAGAAACACGATGTTGTTATTTCTTTCAAAGACGGAAGGTGGGAAAAGTATGTTTGTATACCTGATGCGAATGTACGTATTTATGTAAGTAGACTGTGGTCCAATAGCCAAGTCCTGTGTGTGCATTGTGGTACGAATAGCACAAATCTTCAAAAGCCAGAAATAAATCGAATCAGGGAAACAATTGCTCTTTTCAATATAATGAGCAAGGCAACTTTTTTCACTTTCACTATACGTGGTCCTCCAAGTATTTTATCATTTACGCTCTGAATCCTATCTGTGTATCGGACGAGGAAAGGAGGAGAAGAAGAAGGGTAGGTAAATAAATTGGTACAGTCATTCACTCGTCCTTTGAAAAAAGAACTTATTGCTTCAGCTGAAATGCGTGTAGAGAGAAAGAGACAAGAATGGTTCTTAGTATAACAGGGACTTCAATTAAGCGTCATTGTGTTAGCATTACATATAGTCTAAGAGTTTGCTGAAACCCGAAAGGACAAAAGTGGGTTGTTTTTAATTTGTCCTTTCTTTTATTTGGCAAAAGAACTCAGATGTTCCCCATTTATTCTTTTAGAGAAATTAGATTGTGTCCCAAGCGGCTAACATGCGCTGAAAAATGTGTCATGGAAGCAGCTCAGTCTTGCTTAGGACACAATGTACGATCAACGGATTTATTGAACAAGTACGATTTGATCGTATCCTCCAATAAATATAATTCAACTGGTACTTTCGTATGTATTCAGTATAAATAAATAGTACATTCGTCTGGCTTACCGTATCATTATGCAACTACTTATCGTAGAAGACTTTAAATAATTTTGCTGATAATTGATGCAAATTTATTTACTTGGACAATCGCATCTATAAGGTTTATATATAAAGTAGTAATACGCACGTCAGAATATGTGCACGTAATGTGAGAACGGTTTTTTTTAGAATACAAGGAGCATTTAGGGTTTCATCAGAGTTTGAAGGAATTAAGAGGGATGGGGTTGAATTGGAGAAAGCGGAGGATGAAATGAGCTTGGATGAATGGGAAAGCAAGCAGAGCGTAATATCATTTTTCGAAGAAGACAATTTTTCACTCTGCAAGACAATAAAAAAGACAAATTTATTGGATCTTTTATCGTTTTATGAAACTTGGTTCGCCAACTAAGCAAACATTCAGATGTCGGCGAGAGAAAAGAAGTTGGAGGAGAAAGCATTGTTGGAAACAGTAGTTCACAAAGACAGGATCGGCTCCTTTTGCAACCAAGATGGAACAGCGGATGACCTAATGCTACACTTATAAAATGCTTTTCAACCAAATGTTTCCGTCCATCTCGTCCCTACTACACTTTTACTATCTAATTCCGTATATATGTTAGGACCAAAAAAACGTCCCTTTGTGCATTAGGATTTCTGCCGGCGAACACTGATTTACTTAGTTGTGGTGGTACCCTTCTTGCATCCACTTTCGGGAGGAAAATTCGAGTAAATTCTGTACTCTGTGTATGTAAGTGGGTCTCATTCATGTATAATCGTTACTAAAGAAAGCTTTATTTTATGGTCCGACGCCTTTCAAATAATGGGAAAGTTTGTGCACCACAAAACATTCGATTCAAGCTTGGAGCTGATTTTATCATCAGATTCCATCCACGACTTGAATAAGAAGCTTTTAAACAATTGTACAACATGTGATAATGAGTTTTAACTTAATTCTTGTCTGAACAAGTTATGTTGTATGCTAACGAAAGCTTGCAAATAAAATATTAAGATAAATGTCCTCTGATACGGTCAATAATGATACAAAAAAGAGTTTAAACTTTTTGCATGCATTAAATGGTTTCAGAACATTGCATATATGTCCATCGTATCATTCTTATAATTAAATTCATCCTGTC